GAGCCCCAAAAAACAAACCTCTTGACCTGCTCCAACCTTGCCGCAATTGCCACTCGTCTGAAATGCGCCTTGCCCCCCGGGCGCGTCGGCGGCACAATCGCCCAACCCCCCACGCAGCTGGAGCGAGTTGAGCAAGCCGTTGGGCGCGCCGTCGGCTGTGGGGCGACATGTAGGCGAAGGACAGGGCGGCCGCGCCCATCTGGAGGCAACGGCGCATGGACTCGGCAATCTCCCAGCGACCACGGCACTGCAGCAGCCCCAGGTGCTGGAACGAGCGGAAGCAATGGATGTCCCCGCCCCCTCGCAGCGACCCAATGGCGCAGTGCGAGTCGCTGATGCCGACGAGGCGCTCGAGGTAGCTGAACCCGCGGGCCAGCCCGCGCAGCTGCCCCAGGCGCGACGCCGCCGTCGGTGAGAGGAGGCCAAAGACGCGCCCCAGCATGTTCAGCAGCGCAGGATCGTCGATCAGGACACTCTGGAAATTTGGCCCTCGGTCCAGTGTCTTCAGAGGGGGGAAGGAAAAGAAGGAAGGGGGGCCAAAAAAAAACGCCCGCGTTGACGTCGCCCCCAGGCCCCCAGGCAAGACGAGGCGCCGCCCGAAAGCAGTCGCGACCGCGCCAGGCCGCAGCAGCACAGGGAAGGCGAGGAGCAGGCACGCCGACGCCCCGCTACAACCCCCGCGTGGGCGGCGAAGGCAAGGGCCAGGAGCGCCTCAACAAACGAGGGGGGGCGCGCATCTCGACTGGCTCGACCCTGCGCCAGCGAGCCACCGCAGCCCAGGCTGGGCGCGGTTGACCGCGGGCCCGGGGCCAGCGAAACTGGACGCCGACAAGGGCCTCGAACCCCCACGAATATGGCGCCTTCGCGTCGTACAAGTACTGCGCGTAGGCGACAAGGGTGGCGTCGAGCAGCTCGACGTCACGCGCGACGTCGCCGGGGCGCGCAGCCCTCGACTCCAGCGGGGCCGCGGGCCCCACCTGTCGAATACGACGATTCACCGACGGGCGGTGGCCGGCCTGACTGTCACTCGGATGCCCCGTCCGACCCGCGAAGCCGTGCGCCGCGAGGCTACACGCGGGCGCGCGGGCGGACCTTCTCCCTGAATTCCGAAACAGCTGCGCAAGACCCGCAGGGGCATCAGCAGCGCGGCGAGCGGCAGCACATGTCGAGCTGCTCGGGCACCGCAACGCACCACTCGCCAGACGCCGCCAGACGCCGCCCTCGCACTTAATGCAGCCTCTAAGATCTAAGACAAGGTGCCGGCGGCCGCGGTCGCATCGCCTTGTTGGCAAAGGCGGAAGCGCCAACCGCCCCTTCCAGGCGGTGGTCTCGCGCCAACGGCCGCCCCGCACCCAGCAATCCATGACGCGCTCGTAGAGCGGCCCCGCGCTGAGGGCCTCCCGCAGCTCCGGAAGTGCCCACCGAAGGGGTCGCCGAGGCTGCCCCCACGCCCAGAGGGCGCCAACGCAGCCGAGAGCCTTCACGAGACCCAAAAGGCTTCCAAGCACTTGCTGCCCAGGGTCTCCTCGGGGCGTCGCCGCGGCCCCCACGGCCGCTGGCGAGTCCGAGAGGACCGCGAGCACGAGTTCACGAATAACGACTGGGCCCCGCAAGGGGGCCCCAGAGCAGCCGCCATCGGCCTGATCCTCACGACAGACTCGATCCTGGGCGAATGCGCCGGGGTCGGCGATTCCCCCGAGAGGGCCGCGCCGCGCGCCGCGGCCGAGGTCGAGCCAGCCGCCGCACTCCAGGGCTGCACTGACGGGGGCCATCGGCCCGCCAAGGGCGTCGGAGGAGACGGGCGGTCGGCGGCCGCTGGCAGTGCGGCGCGAGCTCGCGGCCCAGCTCCAGAGCTCCTCGACGGCGGCAATCGATTCCACCGCCTTGGGGGGGCGCGGTCTGGCCCCGCGCACCCCGGCACCTTCTGTCGGGCCATATGCAGAGTCGCGGGCGCCCCGCGCCCGCGAATATTATTTCCCCGGCGATAACACCTCGAACTGCGAGCCCCACAGATCACCACAGCAAGGCTGCGCCACCGCGCGCCACGGAGCAGCGCCAGGCAAGCGAGGCAGACAAAACAAAAGGCGGACCAGGGGGGGGCGCCACGAGCGCGGCGAGGCGGCCGCGGCAGTTTTCACGCAGCCAAGCCGGAGCGCGCCCGAAATTCGGGGCGGGCCCCGCGGCCGATATTCGGGGGGCCCGAAAGGGGCAGCACAGTGACATGGAAGCTAGAATGAGCTAAACTTGGGCGCCCGAATTATCCGGGGAAACTCGGGCCAGGGGTAACTCGGGCTTGGATTCTCGAAAGAGGCGCCCGAGTTAGCCCTGACCCGAGTTACCCCTGATAACGTGGGACTCTGGACGCCCGAGTTATCCGGGGCGACTCGGGCCCCGGGGTAACTCGGGTTTGGATTCCCGAAAAACGAGCCCGAGTGAACCCTGACCCGAATTACCCCTGATGATTCGGGGCTCTGATAAACAGCACCATCGGTCATGGCCCACATACCGCGAGCACAGAATCACCTCAGGCCAGAGAGGACAATGGCACCGCGCGCAGGGGCCCGGCGGAAGCGAGCGCAGGGAAGGGAGAAGGAATCCAGACCGAGGAGAGAGGGAAACGACTAGAACTCCGCAGGTCGCACCAAGCCGGCGCGACCCTAAGAAATTCCCCCCCCCCCCCAAAAAAAAAAAAAAAAAAAAAAAAACACGCGGCACCGAAAGGCACACGCCACTGCATCTAGGTCGCGGAGGCCCGCCAGCAGCGAAGCGCCGCCACGCCGCGCCGACGCGCGAGCCCGAGGCGGGAGCTAGCGCAGACAAGCCAGCACGAAGAAGCCCAAAACAAAAACAGCTGACCACACTCAGTCCTGCACGAGAGAGACAGCGAAACGATATATATATATATACACATATATATATATATATACACACAGAGAGATAGATAGATAGATAGATAGATAGATAGATCGGTAGATAGATAGATAGATAGATAGATAGATAGATAGATAGATAGATAGAGAGCCAAAGCAATCCGCATTAACAACTGGCAGCAAGACGCCTATCTGTCGCTGTCGGCCGGGCGCCGACGCAGACAGCCATGGCGAAGATCCCCTCCGGAACCCTGTTGGACGATCGTCCGCGGACGGCAACGCCAGGTATGACCTGTGAGTCTACGAGCACGAGATGCGTCCACAATTCACGCCTGGGCCCATAACCGCGCGCTCGACCAGCGATCTAAGGACGACGCCCCCCCGCGCAGAGATACGACGCGACTTCGGCTCGAGAACCCGTAGCTGAGCAGGGCGGTCAACTGTTTGGGCCCTATCCAGGAGCGGGGCAGGGAGTCGCCCCTGGCCCCGCCCCCCAGGACCTCGAGAGGCTCGTCGGAATATGGCGGCCCAGATGGTTCGAACCCCACCGCGCCTGTCTGTCGGGGAGACCACGCCCAAAGCAAGACCGCATCCTCCGGGTTGAACGGGCCGGCGCGACTCCGCCGACGCACATGGCGGCGCCCCAGGCGAAGACCTGTTCCGCCACCGTGGAATCGAGAGAGCCCCCGAACATTGAAAACCGGAGGACCAGCCCCAGAGACTCACCGATCATTGGATTCGGCAGCCAGCGCAAGCTGCGGGACCCACGCCGGGCGCGCGAAGCCACGCGTAGAGCTTATCCACGAGACGCACGGCAGCCCGGCGAAACACCAGATGGCGCACCCAGAACCCGACCAGCCTCCTCACGAGAGCGACAGCTGAGGCCCCGACGAGGACGACGCACGCGGCGATCACTCCGAGCTGTTTGACTTTCACCACCACCCCGCCTACACCGAGACGCGCAGCGATCGCAAGCCCCGCGCCCACGCCGGCAGCGCGCGGCGGGGCGCAGCATCTCCGAGAAGCGCCTGCGGCCCTCGAGGCGCCCGAATCTGATCATCGGCCCGCCGCGCGGCACCGCGCTCGACGACGCCCGCGGCGTCGCAGCCGAGCTCGGCGAAAGCCGCGGCGTCGACGTGGGCGGACCACTTCTTCGGTTCACGCTCGATGGCCCCGTCGACCGCCAGGAGCCACGCTGCCCCCCTGGCACCGCTGATCCTGGCCACTGGGCCCGAGTCTCCAGAGCACGGGGCCGCGACCCCGAAGAATCGGCCGCCGTGGGCGGGCTCGTCCTCCTTCACCTGCTCGGCGGCCGACCCTCTCGAGCAGCGCCCGCAATATCGCGAGCTAGATTGCCTCGTCTGCATCGCGGCCGCATGCCTCGACGAAGACCCCGAAATCGAGGTCGGCCCTCCTTCCTCCCCCGAGCCGCGCGGCTGCCAAGCAGCCCCCGAGCCGTCGCCGGGGCCTCCTGGGCCGCCCTGGACCGGGGAGGCGCCGACGCGAGCCGCGCCCCCAGACGCTGGGCCGCCGTCCTGGGCGGCGCCGCGGGCGGACGGTCTGCTCGGGGCAGACAGGGGCAGGCGCCAGCACGCTCGCGGGGGGGCCCGCTCGGAGGAGCGACCCCGGAGCGGCGGGGGGGGGGCCCGCAGATGCGAGGCCACGAGCCCCTACGCTTCTCTTCTCGACCTGCTCGGATCGGCTCGAGAAGCTCCTCAGCCGGTCGCCGATAGGCCCCTGGAGGTCGCGCTCGAAGCTCCCGATGGGCACTGCGCAGATCGTCGCGAGACACGTTGATGCGCCATGGGGGCGCGGCCCTCCTGGCGCCGCTCGACACAGGCCCCTGCCTCGCCGCGCTCCCCTCGCGCCCACCCGTAGCGAGAGGGGCGGCGCGCGCGGGCATTTCCGCGGGCGCGGCCAGCGGCGGCGGCGCCCGCTGAGGGGGGGCGCTTGGCGGGCGGGAGCGCGGGCCCCAGACCCGCCAGGAGCCCCTCTTCTCCCTCCGCGCCCGGGCTGCCCGCCGCGCAGGCGCCACGCGGCCGACCTGCCCACTCCTGCGCGGCAGCCACGCGGGCTGCGTCGACCTCGTCGTCACCCATGCCCTCGCCATCGCGATCGGCGGCCAGGCACCGCCCCCTGTCGATCTTCCCGTCGACGGAGAGCTGGAAGCCGATGCGCCCCAGGTCGCCCCGGGGGGCGGGGGCGGGGAACGCGACGAGCCGAAGCAGGATCCCAATGTTCCAGTCGTCGGGCTGCAGGGCGAGATCGGCCAGCCCGAGCAGGTCCAGCTGACCAGATCCGCCGACTGAGTCGAAAGACACGATCGCCTCGTCCTCCGCGTCGCTCTCAGTGAGTCGCGCCAGGAACGCTGGCGAGATCTTTATGCTGGCCAAGTCTGCTGGCATTTCCTCGCCCTGGGCCGACCGCAGCGCCACCGAGACATAATACACGGAAGCGAGCGAGCCGGCATCGAAAGGGAAGCAGACGGCGGGAACCACGATGAGGAGCTCCTCAAGCTTGAGGTCGCTGAGGTCGTCTCGCGTCAGGGCGTCGACGGCGACGGGGCCATCGAGCCTCACGAACTTGGCGCCGACGACACGGGCCTCGCACCTCGCTGCCGTGCCAGCGGCTCGGGCCCCGGCTATAGACAACTCGAGCAGCCACGGGCGAAGGAGGACGTCCCTGGATTGCTGCAGCTCCCCAGATGGTAGCGTCGTCGTTGTGTCCTGGTCCAACCGAAGACCTTGACAGTGTATGAAAAGTTCCGCTGCTTGTCGAAGAACCTGCCCATTGCCTCGCCAAACGACGGGAACCGACGCAGGCGATCCCGCCCGCTAGTGTACTTGCCGTCTCCGAGTCTGGCGACGATCGCCTGCCACACGACCGCGCCTCGTCTGCGCACTCCGACGAGGTCCTCGCTTGAACCCGGGGCGGCCCAGATTGTGCAGCAACGGTTTCCAACGGCAACGGCGACCCTAACCATAGGCTCGGCACCTGCTTCCCCTCTGGGCGGCCCGCGATGAGTGCTGCCTGGGACGACGACCCAGGTGACCCTCTTTGGGTCTTCCGCCGCCTCTGGCGCGGCCAGTTCGCCCCTGGGAGCGGCCTTTGCGTAGGCCTCGAATCCACGGGCAGGCTCGTGGACCGCCCGTGCTCTGGCCGCGGGCCCCCCACGCATCAACCGCGCGCGCGCCCAGCGCGCAGCGCGGAGCGGGCTCGGTCCGAGAAAGCTGCAGATCACTTTCTTCTACCATCATAACCGCTGTGCTCACATCATCATCATCATCATCATCATCATCATCATCATCATCATCATCATCATCATCATCATCATCATCATCATCATCATCATCATCATCATCATCATCATCGTCGTCATCATCATCATCGTCGTCATCATCATCATCATCATCATCATCATCATCATCATCATCATCATCATCATCATCGTCATCATCATCATCCTCATCATCATCATCATCATCATCATATTCATCATCATCATCATCATCATCTTCATCTTCATCATCATCACCACCATCATCATAATCAGAATCATCATCAGCATCATCATCATAATCATCATCATCATCATCATCATCATCATCATCATCATCTGCATCCTCATCATCATCATCATCGTCATCATCGTCCTCATCATCACCATCATCCGAATTATCATCACCACCAGCATCATCGGCAGCATCGTCGTCATCATCACCCATCATCAGCATAATCATCACCCATCATCAGCATCATCAGCATCATCACCATCAGCAGCAGCTGCCTCAGCATCAGCATCATCATCATCAACCCTCAGTATCATCCATCATCAACATCATCAGCAGCAGCAGCAGCATCATCATCGCCATCAGCATCATCGTCATCATCGTCATAACCATCATCATAAGCATCATCATCATCAACATCATCAGCAGCAGCAGCAACATCATCATAATAGGCGGAGCCCGCTCGGAAAACCCTAGAGTTTGGCATCTCGGAAGGCCCAGGAGGCCTCTCGGAAGGCCCTGGAGGTCTCTCGGAAGGCCCAAGAGGCCCGTCGGAAGGCCCAAGAAGTCTCTCGTGAGGCCTAAGAGGCCTATCGGGAGGCCCCTCGGATAGCCTAAGAAGCTCCTCGGGAAGCCCAAAACGGCTTTGGGGAGGCCCGAGAGGCCTCTCGGAAAGCCCAAGAGGCTCCTCGGGAGGCCCAAGGGGCCTCTCGGGAGTCGCCCAAGAGGCCTCTCGGGAGTCGCCCAAGAGGCCTCTCGGGGGGCCCAGGAGGCCTCTCGGGAGGCCCAAGAGGCCTCTCGAGGGGCCCAGGAAGCGTACCACAACAGTGCTTCACACCAGCGCTGGGGACATCTTGAACTTGGCTGCCGGGGATTGGACCCCTTCTGCCGAGGGTGGCACCCTTCTGCCGGGGATCGCCTTTTCCTCGCCTCCGCGACCTGCCCCCTCGCCCCCCCCCCCTTTTCTCGCCGCTTCCTCGCCTCCCCCGACCTTGCCTTGTTCTCGCCCCCCTCGACCTGCCCCCTCGCCGTGCGCGCCGCCACGGCACCCTCTGCGTCCCTGCACTGCCGCCGCCCCGCGGGGCCCCGCGGGGTCGGAAGACCAGGGGGCGGCCTCCGAGTCCAGCTCCGCGCGCGGCGGTCTCCGGCCGAGCGCCGCCGCCGGGCGTGCGCCGCAGGCAGGAGGTGCAAAGAAAAAGGCGCAGACCCAGACTCCTCCTCCTCCTCCTCCTCCTCATCCTCCTCCTCCTCCGCCTCCTCCTCCTCCTCCTCCTCCTCCTCCTCCTCCTCCTCCTCCTCCTCCTCCTCCTCCATCGCGTCGCTAAATTACTCCGACGGAAGGACCCTACGTGAGAATATGTTTTGCTTGCCCTTACCATTTTCCTCCTCGCCCTGACGGACACTCTCCTCTCGCCCGCCGTTCTGCCCTCACCTACTCCCCCTCCTTATATCTCTCCTCCTCCTCCTTCTTCTCCACTTCCTCCTCATCATCACCCCCTCCCTACCCCTTCCCCGTCCTCGTCCTTCCCTGCTTCTTCTCCGCGCGCTCATCCCCTTCCCTCTGGTCGGGCAAGCAAATCGATTTTCCTCGGCGGATTACCCGCTCGGATTACCAACATGAAGTGCGGGACCCATAGGGAGGGGGTTCCCTTCTGAGACTTCCTCACAATTCACTCACAGACGAGGCTCCCGCTTGATACTTCCTCCAAATTCAAACCTGGGGAACCCAAAAGTGACGACAGTTACCGGTTGCCGATGACCCGCTCGGATTACCAACATGAAGTGCGGGACCCATAGGGAGGGGGTTCCCGTCTGAGACTTCCTCACAATTCACTCACAGACGAGGCTCCCGCTTGATAACTCCTCCACACTCAAGCCTGAGGAGCCCAAAAGTGGCGACAGTTGCAAGTTGCCGATGACCCGCTCGGATTACCGACATGAAGTGCGGGACGCATAGGGAGGGGCTCCCCTCTGAGACTTCCTCACAATTCACTCACAGACGAGGCTCCCGCTTGATACTTCCTCCAAATTCAAAACTGAGGAGCCCAAAAATGGCGACAGTTACCGGTTGCCGATGACCCGCTCGGATTACCGACATGAAGTGCGGGACCCATGAAAAAAAGCCTCCCGCCTGAGACGTCCTCACAATTCACTCACAGACGAGGCTCCCGCTTGATACTTCCTCCAAGTTCAAGCCTGGGGAGCCCAAAAGTGACGACAATTACAGGTTGCCGATGGCCCGCTCGGATTACCAACATGAAGTGCGGAACCCATAGGAGGGGGCTCCCGCATGAAACTTTCTCACAATTCACCCACAGACGAGGCTCCCGCTTGATAACCCCTTCCAAATTCAAGCATGAGGAGCCCAAGAGTGGCGACAGTTACAGGTTGCCGATGACCCGCTCGGATTACCAACATGAAGTGCGGGACCCATAGGGAGGGGGCTCCCGCCTGAGACTTCCTTACAATTCGCTCAGAGACGAGGCTCCCGCTTGATAACCCCTTCCAAATTCAAGCCTGGGGAGCCCAAAACTGACGACAGTTACAGGTTGCCGATGACCCGCTCGGATTACCAATATGAAACGCGGGCCCCATAGAGGAGGGGCTCCCGCCTGAGACTTCCTCACAATTCACTCGAAGACGAGGCTCCCGCTTGATACTTCCTCCAAATTCAAGCCTGAGGAGCCCAAAAATGGCGACAGTTACCGGTTGCCGATGACCCGCTCGGATTACCGACATGAAGTGCGGGACGCATAGGGAGGGGGCTCCCTTCTGAGACTTCCTCACAATTCACTCACAGACGAGGCTCCCGCTTGATAACTCCTCCAAATTCAAGCCTGAGGAGCCCAAAACTGACGACAGTTACAGGTTGCCGATGACCCGCTCGGATTACCAACATGAAGTGCGGGACCCATAAGGAGGGGGCTCCCGCCTGACTGAAACTTCCTCGGGTGATATAAGCGAGTGACGGTGATGAGCGAGTGAGCGAGTGAGCGAATGAGTGAGTGAGTGAGTGAGGGGGTGGGTGGGTCGGTGGGTGGGTGAGTGACGGAGATGAGTGGTTATGAGTGCGATGATGATGATGATGATGATGATGATGATGATGATGACGATGATGATGATGATGATGATGATGATGATGATGATGATGATGATGATGATGGTGATGATGCTGCTGCTGATGATGATGATGGTGATGGTGATGATGATGCTGATGATGATGAGGAGGATGATGATGATGAGATTGGTGATGATGATGATGATGACGATGATGATGATTATGATGATGATGATGATGATGATGATGATGATGATGATGATGATGATGATGATGATGATGATGATGATGATGATGATGATGATGATGGTGGCGATGATGAGGATGAGGATGATAATGATGATGATGAGGAAGGAGGGAGAGGAGAGGGAGGAGGAGAAGGAGGAGGAGGAGAGATCCTGCGCGGAGGGTGTGCAAAGAAAACAAAAAAAAAAAACACTTAGGATGTGGGGAAACAGTGACGACAGTTACACGTTTCGGATGACCCGCTCGGATTACCAACATGAAGTGCGGGACCCATAGGGAGGGGGGCCCCCGCCTGAGACTTCCTCGCAATTCACTCACAGACGAGGCTCCCGCTCGATATTTCCTCCAAATTCAAGCCTGAGGAGCCCAAAAGTGACGACAATTACAGGTTGCCGATGACCCGCTCGGATTACCAACATGAAACGCGGGCCCCACAGGGAGGGGGCTCCCGCCTGAGACTTCCTCACAATTCACTCACAGACGAGGCTCCCGCTTGATACTTCCCCAAAATTCAAGCCTAAGGAGCCCAAAAGTGACGACAGTTACAGGTTGCCGATGACCCGCTCGGATTACCAACATGAAGGGCGGGACCCATAGGAAGGGGGGCTCCCGCCTGAGACTTCCTCGCAATTCACTCACAGACGAGGCTCCCGCTCGATACTTCCTCCACACTCAAGCCTGAGGAGCCCAAAAGTGACGACAGTTACAGGTTGCCGATGACCCGCTCGGATTACCAACAAGAAGTGCGGGCCTCATAGGGAGGGGGCTCCCGCCTGAGACTTCCTCACAATTCACTCACAGACGAGGCTCCCGCTTGATACTTCCTCCAAATTCAAACCTGAGGAACCCAGAAGTGACGACAGTTACAGGTTGAGGATGACCCGCTCGGATTACCAACATGAAGTGCGGGACCCATAGCAAGAGGGCTTCCCACCTGAGACTTCCCCGCAATTCACTCACAGACGAGGCTCCCGCTCGATACGTCCTCCACACTCAGGCCTGAGGAGCCCAAGAGTGACGACAGATACAGGTTGAGGATGACCCGCTCGGATTACCAACATGAAGTGCGGGACCCACAGGGAGGGGGCTTCCGCCTGAGACTTCCTCACAATTGACTCACAGACGAGTGCGTGATGACGAAGTGATGAGCGAGTAGTGATGATGAGTGAGTGATGATGACGATAATGATGAGTGAGTGAGTGAGTGAGTGAGTGAGTGATCGAGTGATGATGATGGTGATGATGATGATGAGTGATGATGATGAGTGATCGTGCGATGCTGATGGTGACTGGTGGTGATGATGAGAACGAAGTGATGAGTGAGCGTGTAGTGACGATGCTGATGATGATGATGGTGATGATGATAATTATGATGATGATGATGATGATGATGATGATGATGATGATGATGATGATGATGATGATGATGATGATGATGATGCTGATGCTGATGCTGATGCTGATGATGATGATGATGATGATGATGATGATGATGATGATGATGATGATGATGATGATGGTGACGATCGTGCGGTGCTGATGATGATGAGTGATCGTGCGATGCTGATGGTGATGCTGATGGTGATGATGATGATGATGATGATGTTGATGATGATGATGATGATGATGATGATGATGATGATGATGATGATGATGATGATGATGATGATGATGATGATGATGAGTGGGGAGTGATGGTGATGGTGATGATGATGAGGAGGAGGAGGAGGAGGAGGAAGCAAGGAGGAGGAGAAGAGAGTGAGGAGGAGGAGGATGAGGAGGAGGAGGAGGAGGAGGAGAGATTCTGCGCGGAGGGTGTGCAGAGAAAACAAGAACCCCCACTTAGGATGTGGGGAAAAAATCAGAGCGGAAGTTTGTGGCCGTTTTCGGCCTCGGAGGGCCCTCGCCGGGCCTCGGGACCGCCGAAAAGGACTCAGGAGGAAACAAAAAAAGAGGGTCCTGGGAGAGGGTCGGGACTTCCAGGGACCCCGCATTGAAAAAATCAGGATGTCGCACGTCTGGGGACGAATAGGAAACTGCACACGGCAGGTTCGTGTCGTGACGACCCCGCGGTTTATTTCTGACACCGCGTGGATCATTGTTGTTGCTGTGCTCAGATGTGACGCAAAGCTGCTCCTGAGAACACAAACCTGACGCACGACGACATGATAGCATACTTACACACCAGACACACAGCGCTCACTCCCGACCAGTCCTGTCACTTTACGGGACGGGAAAACGAACACAGCCACTGCGTTTCTTTTGTTGCCGCCTTCCAGCCAGCAGAAACAAAGCAGTGGCTGTGGTCATTTTCGTTGAGCTTGGCACCAGAGAAATGACCACAACCACTGCTTCTTTTTCGGCCAGCTGGAAGGCGGCGCAAACAAGAAGCAGTGGCTGTGGTCATTTTCCCGCCCCGCAACTTCTCAACATGCATTGCATCCACCCCTCGGTGGATCGTTCAACCCTGAATACTCGGCGGCTTCTCGCTCGCCCGAGCGCTCCGCACAGGCCACTTCTGGCCCGCTGGCGGCGTTCCGCCCTGAGCGCCCGCGGCGGGGTCGCCGCTGGCCGACACGACGCGAACGTACCGTAAACATTGACGTTTGGAGCTCCGCGTAAGTCGGGCCTGTCCCTCTACAGGGGGGATATCCAAAAATAGTAGACAATAATCCGGGAACTACTCGTTCAAACTATGTTTGGGCATATTTTGAATATTTGAGAATTCTGTTTAATTCTTCGTCCAGAATCCCCCTGTAGGGGGACGAACCCTACCTGAAGCTCCGCGCGGATTTCTTGGATCTGCACTGGACCCCCCTCCCTCACGCGCGGAGCGCGCCAGACGCGGCGCCAGAGACGTCGCCAGTGGGGCCCGGCGGAGCTCTGAAAGTTCATGGTTGTGCCGTTTCGTCCGCTTCGAAGGAAGAGAGAACGAAAGGCAGAGGAAGGAGAAAGAGAGAGAGAGGGGGGAGGAGAGAGGGAGAGGCAGGAGCCACGAGACGAACCTAGGCGTGGCTCCCCCTCGATCGGAAGGCTGGTTCAGAACAGGAGGTTGGAACGTCGCCGCGTGGCGCCTGCGACGCCGTGCAGAAGATCATTCGGATCACCCGGTGGCCCCCAGAAGGCGTGGTGATCACAGCGCGTGGTGGGTCCGTGGGATTTTTATATTTTTTTTTATTTTTTTTTTTTCAGGTGGACGCGGTACAATTTTGAGCCCAGTGCCGCTCCCCGCCAGCCCTTGCTGCGACGCTATCGGCCACGCGGCTGGGACAACAAACGGCCCGCAGGGGAACCAAAATCGACGGGCTGGCATCCCCCGAATCTGCCGCTCCTCCCCTTTTTGGTGGGTCCGTGGGAATTGGGGGTCACCGCACGGTCCTGGGACTCGGGTCTTCCTCCGAGGACGCCTCGGGCGAACGGGGCCTCCGAGGCACCGAGACCCTGCGGCGACGGACGGCGCGGTGGGGCCCCTGTGGGATCTTGCGCGGCCCGTCGCCACGCGGCCTTGGGACCCCCGACTCGCAGCCTGCGCCCGAAGTCAGCCCCTCCTCTGGTTCCCAGGGCTCGCGCTTCTCGGGGCCAACGGCTGCCTGGCACCGGCGTCGAGCAGAAGGCCAGGGAAAGGCATGCGCCTCACGGCCCCTCGGGGGACTCGTCCGAGTCCTCGGAGCTGGCGTCCCAGAGGCTGGTGCTGGGCACGAGCTGGCGGTCAGCCTCGCCCCTGAGGTCGTCGGGCCCCCAATAGAGAGCGTCCGAGTGGAGAATGTCGGAGCACGGACCCCAGTAGTGCTCGTCGGAGTGCGCCACGTCCGAGTTGACGTTCCAGGCGTCCGCCTGGTGCACAATCTTCGGGCGCACGCAGTACGACTTGATGCTGCCAGAAGCGCACGCCGCGGCCATCCAATTGTCGACGGGCTCATTGACTGGCAGCTGGTCCAGGAGGATGCGAGCGCCTGCTGGCCAAATGACGTACGCCACCGTCGTCCAGACGTACTCCGACTCCACCAACTCCGGGGACACCTCCCGCTTCCAGTCGGCGGCCTGACTGTACCCCAAGTAGAGAACGTGTGCGTCGCCGGGCAAGGCCCGGAGTGCGCGCGGCAGCGTGTCCGCGAAGTCGGCCGTCGGCGCCGCGTCGTCCTCCAGCACCAGCAGGGGCCTGTTGCCACCGCCAGCGAGCTCCAGGCAGTGCCTCCAGGCCCTTATGTGCGACATGGCGCAGCCCCTCTCGCCTGGGCTCAACGCCAGCGTCCGGACCTGGTACGTGTCCAGGTCGTTCCAGCCTTTCCTAATGGAGGAGCCACAACAAGATCAGTGACACGCAGCCATAGGGAAACCGATCAGCATGATATTGTCGAAACGCCACCAGGCCCTCGGACAAACAGATAACAAAAAAAACGACGGAGTAGCACACTGACGGGCTCCCCACTGCGGCGTGTCATCGGTACCCTTTTCCTCCCCCGACCTAACAGCTCGCATCTTCTGATCCGCCGTCATGCCCCCTGGCACGCTGCGACGCGACATAATATCAAGCGCTGTCTGGCAACGATGTTGCAATGTTCTGAGAGCCCAGTAATGGCGCTCTGCTACGCGCACCCCCTTCCCGAGCCTACCGGGCGATCTGGCGCCTCCCCGGCGGTTCCCGGAGCCTCCGTGAAGCCGGAGACCTGTCACCGCGCAGCAGGCACTGAGTAGAGTGCCCGCAGGCTGCTTAGATCCATCGGACGCTCAACTGAACATCATAGACACGACCCCCAAGTCGCGCGTGCTCCTGGGCCTTTTTTCTGGCCGCTCTCGGGACTCGCCGCGTGATTTTCCCAAAGGCACCCACGTGCCTCAAAATGGCCCAAAAGGGGCATCTTGCAGGTCTGCCGGCTCCTTCCTTGGGCCGTCTTGGAAGCCCTGGGTACCAAGATACAAAAATGATTGCACAAACACATACACACATAGTATCAAAATAGGCTCGCTTATAAGAGTCTTAGCCCAATGGCATAGAGAAATGGCCCACTGATATGCCCCCTCTACTTTGCCCCTACACGCGTCCTCTGTTGCGCATGAGTTACTCTGTTGCGCGTGTCTGTATATGCTATCCGCATGGCTGTCTAGCTTGCACCTACACGCGCCCTCTGCTGGTAGAGTAGAACAGAGTAGAGTAGAACAGATAATCGTATAAGAGTAGAGTGGAGCAACATTGAGTGGAGTAGAGCAGAACAGACTAGAGTACAGTAGAGGAACGTAGATCATAGCAGAAATATAATAGATTGGAATATGATCAAACAGAGTAGAGCCGAGCTGAGCAGAATAGGAGTAGGGTCGATGTTAGGCAGAAGCTGAATAGGGTCGGGCAGAATAGAGTAGAGCTAGAGCAGAGCAGATACAATCATAGTAGAGGAGAGTAGAGTATGAGTAAAGTAAGAGTGTAATAAAAGTGGGGGGATGAAACAGAGGAGAGTAGAGTATATGGTAGAGTAGAGGTAAATAAAACAGCGTAGAGAAGAGCAGACTCGAGTAGAGCAGATTAGAATAGAGGGGAGTCGGCCAAAATAGAGAAGCGCACACTAGAGCAGGGTGGAAGTACCGCAGGAGTAGAATAGGATAGGATAGAGTAGAGTAAAATAGAGTAGAGTAGAGTAGAGTAGGGTAGAGTAGGGTAGAGTAGAGTAGAGTATAATAGAGTAGAGTAGAGTCAAGAAGAGTAGAGCTGAGAAGAGTAGAGTAGAGTAGAATAGAGTATAATAGAGTAGAATAGAGTAGAGGGTAGAGTAGAGTGGAGTAGGGTCCAGAAGGAAGGGGGTGCAGGGTAGGGTAGGAAAGGGTAGAGTAGTGTGGAGCAGAGTAGAGCAAAGTAGAATCGAGTAGGGCGAATGGTGGGAGCAGAACCAGGCAGAACATATTAGGATGGAGCAGAGTAGAGGTGAGCGGCGTAGATTAGAATAGGGCAGAGTAGAGTAGAGCAGAAGTGGAGTAGAGTAGAGTAGATTAGAGATTGTTTCTGGACGCGGACAGACGATGGACATCGATACGAAGGTCTCGTCTTGATTCTGCAACATCTCACTGCCCGAGCGCACGCCGCCGAAACAGCGGTGCTGGACTGCCAGTTTCCGCGCCCACACGCAGATGCCGCCACACACTCGCTCCCGCGGCTCCTGCGTGAAACCCAGATGCCGATACACACTCACACTGGCATGACACATCTGCCATGACGCTCTGGACGATCACACGGGGGAGGGAGCAGGAGGATGAGGAGGAGGAGGAGGAGGAGGAGGAGGAGGAGAGGAGGGAGAAGAAGCACGAGTGGAGAGGAGGGGAGAGGAGGGAGAGGAGGGAGAGGAGAGGAGAGGAGGGAGAGGAGCAGGAGGATGAGGAGCACGAGGATGAAGAGGACGAGGAGGAGAGGAGAGGAGAGGATGAGGAGGACGAGGACGAGGACGAGGAGAGGAGCGGGCAGCGTGGTTGCCAAAATTGTTGCCTCATGCACCGGAGGCCTGACTACAGCAGCATCCCAGAAGTAAAAAGGCCCCGGCAAGACGGAGGAGACGAGGAGGACGAGGAGGAGGAGGAGGAAGAGGAGGGGAGAGGCGAAGGAGGAACAAAACCCTCCTGGAACAGTGCTCCAGCCAACCTGCCATAGGCGAGCCTTTGCGCGCATCCCGCGGACTGACACATGCGCAAAGTTGTATGTCGGAGTCCAAGCTCCGTGAACTATCACGCAGACTTCAACGACTGGCAAGTGCGAGCACACAGACGGAATGAACCCAGCCACGCATGGTGGAGAAATCGCGCAGCGTCAGCCGCCGTCGCGCCAGTGCCGAGACAGGTCGCACGCACGGACAAACACGTCAACAGGGAGGGGGGGAGGAGCAGGAGGAGGACCAAAAGGAGTGGCGGCTACCTCGCCCCTTCGCGGAGGAATCTATTGTACGCCCCCGAGACCTCGGAGGGGGAAAACTGATGATGCCGGATGTCGCTACGGAGCCTGAAGAGGGCGTAGGGAGAGAGTGCGCGCTGCAGGAAGAGTGAGTCTCTTCCCAACGCTCCCGAGACGCTGCTCGGAGGCATGCACAAGAAGTAACCCAGGGCCCACTCCGGAGCCGGAGATGGCCCATGGAACTGTGAGGCGGTCAGCCTCCGAATTGTCGGGCGGTGTGCAAAGTGTAAAGGCTGTCGTCGCCGACGCCACAGGCGAATGAGCAAGGGCCGCGATTTTGAAATCGACGGCGCGTGCACCGCCCGTCGCAAAGTGTACGCAAGCAAGCGGCTTGGACTCGGGGGGCGGCGGCGCGCCACAAAACCAAGAAAGCGACCGGCGCGCGCTCCACGCGGCGGCCTGGGAATGTCCGCAGCGGCCACCGGTCGAACCGACGGCGCAGGTAAGCACAGGCAGCACAGCGATGAGCGGATTCTCCCAGTAGAAATTTGTCGCCCCGCCCTGCCAGCCGCATCGAACGCTCAAGTCTAGGCCGCCCCCTTCAGGGAGACAAGCAACTCGACGCCGCAAATCGTTGTCGGCGCCGGCCAGCTCGAACAAGAAGCAGCTTTGCACCCATGAGCCTCTCCAGCCAGCATGTTCTAAGGAACAAGCAGGACTGGGAGGGAGATCCCGCAATCTCGATGCGCGCTCCTGCACGCGGAAGCCGCCGTGGGCGGCATTTTCGAATCGCACCACGCGGGCCTTCGCAGCTGCAGCGATGGCGCTTACATCCGGCAGCTCGCTCGGAAAACTGAGGGATCGCAAATCCCGCAGGCAAGATGAAACCGTCCAGGACGTCGGGCCTGGAAGCAACAGCTGACATGCTCTCTGCTCGTGGACGCAGAAATCAGAAGGTAGGTCCTCCACCGGAGCAACAAACTGAGCACTGAGCTGACAAACGCTCGGCACGCCTGCAGGGATAAGAACAAACAAAAAAAAAAAAAAAAAAAAAAGGCCGAGGCGGCCCCAAACTCTGGCCCGGTCCACGTATTCGCGCAGCGGGGCCTCCCAGGAGCCAGGCCCTCCCCGGGCCGACCATCAAGCAAAAGGTGTTTCGCAGCCCCCGCAATTGGGACGGATCCCCAACCAGGAGCCTGGCGCGCCACGAACGTGTCCCTGAGCATGTCGGGCTTCGGCGGGAAGCCGTGGCCACATAGGGAGCGCGGGCGAAGATGGCATTCACAATTGCGGCATTCGCCCCTGACCTCCTGCCTCTGAAATGGGAATAACGGTACAATGATAGTCTTCCGCACGTTGAGCTGGAGCCCCATCACCGAGGCAAAATCCGGGAAAAACGACTGGAGACAGCGGAGGTGATTGAAACCCTCCCCAATGATCATGGCCAAATCGTCAGCCCATGCCCGCGTGCACGCGGATAGGGACACCCTCCGCAGCCTACGCAGCATGAGGTCCGTGGCCATGGCGAACAAAAGAGGAGAGAGTGGGCATCCTTGACGTATACCCCGCGTCAGTGGAACATCGGTAGCGGGCTCCACCCAAGCTGATGGAGCAGACATTGTCCTGATTCAAGATGCCGATGGCTCGGAGGAGCAAGGGGGGCCAGCCCAGCGAAGCAAAAAACTGATGTGTAAACATATGTTCGCTTGAAGAGAAAGCAACATCGAAATCATAAAAAGGCTACTCGTGCCATCGCCTCGCCTACGTCGAGAAGGTTCGCGATCATCGAACGTCCTGGTAGGAACCCGTGTTGGTCAGAAATTATGAGCGGTTCGATCGCGGGCTCCAGCACGAAGCGAATCGCACTGGCGAGGAGGCGATTGTCACAGCTCGTCACATTAAGCGGCCGAACGCCGCTCGCAGGGCAGGCTGCTGCCTCCCCTCCCATGGGCAGAGAAGACTTGGGCAGAGAAGAACACATGTGTAGAGTAGGGCAGAAAAGAATCGAGTAGAGTAGTCTGGAACATATGGGAGTCAAGGAGGCTGGAGGATAGAGTAGAGCGGGCTTTCCGATAATTAAGAGAGTGGAGTAGAGCCGAGCAGGGCAGGAGAAGAGTAGAGTGGAGTGGAGTATGATAGATCATAGTGGGGTAGGAAACAAGCAATAAAGGAGTACAGAAGAATAGAGTGGGGTAGGATGGGGTAGGATAGGGTAGGGTAGAGAAGAGCAGGGTAAAACCGAGTAGAGTGGAGCAGGGTAGATGGTCGAGTAGAATCGGGTTGCGTAGAGCAGAATGGAGCAGAGAGTGGAGCACAGGAAAGTACAGTAGAGGAGAGTCGACGACAGGAGAGTGTACCAGAGCGATAGAGGTGCTACGGGAGTCGAGCAGAGAACGACTGAGAAGAGGAGACCAGTTAGCCAGGCACCGCGCGTCGGCGGGCCCGGCCTGCTCCCACTCTCCCTCCCGACAGCATGAGAATCAAGTTGCCTCGGGCGGCAGAGCCCCTCCCCCAGGCGGCGGGCGGCAGGAGGAGGGGGAGCACATGAACGATCCTGGAGGAGGAGCAGGAGAAGAAGGAGGAGGCGGAGGAGGAGGAGGAGGAGCGGGGAGGGAGGAGGAGGAGGAGGAGGAGGAGGAGGAGGAGGAGGAGGAGG